TCCCATATTTTTCCATATCTGCAAATGTGATCGCTGTCTGTGAAAGGCTGATATCAGCTGATTTTTATTGGTCCACTTATAAACTGGTCAAGCTCTTGTGATAATATCGATCCAGATTTCTAAAAAGCTCTTATTGAAGTTTATTGATTGTTTTAACAATGTACATTCTTGTTAGATAATACTTTTTGTTACTTTTGTCATACTTTGGATTTTTAATTGATCAGGTTTTCTATATGAGTATAAACTAACTAAGGTTTCCATTCCAGAAGAATCACATGAGTTGTGTGGGTCATGAGAGGTTAAGGTATCAATAACGTTTTTTAACGATGGCTCAAAGCTTGAGGATGTTGAAACAGAGCCTCAGTGCTATACATACCTTGGGTATATCACTTCTCACCATTCAGCTCTTTTAAGCACTCTACAAACAGACTGTCTAATGGCCTTGACTCTTCACTTTTCTGTGGAGATTAGAAAACCACACTGCTCTACTTTTTGTTCGATTTCTTACAATTACCATAAGATAAGATTACCATGAAAGAAAATATGAACCCCTGCATGTACACAAATAATTGTACATGTGTTGTGTTGAATCCATTCTTCCACAGTCACACACACACACACACACACACACACACACACGGCACTTGAGCAAGTTGTGCTCCAAATCACTTATATGGAGAGTGACATAAAAGTAACCTTGGCTGCTCATATTAAGTTAGGTCTGTACTAGTGGAGGAAAGGATTAAATAAAACTCTCGAGCAGTCGGGCCACAGCAACAAGATGAATAAAAAATGTTCTGCTCTCAACAATCCACATTGTCTGTTCTCAAGAAAAAAAACTCACAATGCACCTCTCAGACACAGCATGAATCGAGTCATTTCCAGGGTGTCACCTCAGCGTACAAAACCTGAACGCATGCTCCCACTGTATCATAGCTTATAAGTATACAGTCTTGTGTGGAGTGTCTCTCAACTGGCCTTCCAATTTCAGCAAATCCATTCCAAGTCTCACATCTTGCCAAACTCTCATTAGGCGTCTTTCTCAGCCTGTTATTGCATTATTGATTTCCATTCCTGCTGTGTCTTTTGAAAGATTAGATTTTCATATAAGTAAAATGTCTAAGATGGCTTCCAGGAGAGCAGGCTGTGTGAGAGCAGTATGAATACACAGATTCAACAGACAGTTCAGTTTGGAGGTCACTTTTTGATACGGTTTTATGCATTTATATCTGCTCATAAATAAATGATTTGGCAATAACCACACTCTGCCAATAAGAATTTAAAACTAAATGGGCAAAATTGCATATCCTTGTGTGCCTATAAATAGGCTTATTTGTATTAGCACATTTATAAATGATCCCAAAAGCTTATTTGTCTCTTGTGGAGGTATTTCTAGAGGAACAAGAGAAGGGTGCAAGATTAGTTATTTTATTTCTCTATATCTTCTCGTATGATTACATTGATACTGTTGGTTAATAACTTTGTAAGATGATTAGCATTTTATTAGCGAGGGAAGAAAACAATTTGAAAACACAAATTATCTGTCTTTATTCACATTTGTTCAACCCTCACAATGTTCCTTCCTTTTTTACCAAAATAACTCAAATATTTACAAAAAAATGCTTTAACAACAGTTATACAAACTAAAATGATCAGTTTTGTTAAAATAACATGCTAATATGAATTTGAACAAACTTAACTAATTTGTGTGTGTAAGCAATCAAAGTAAATCTGGTCAAGTTCAGTTTTATGAGCATAATGTGTGTAGACATAACACATACATACAGTCCTCTGGTTTCCATTAATATAAGATACAGAGGGAGGTGGTTTGCAGACAATGTACCAGTTTGTATTGTTAACTAACCGTCCATCTGCCTGTGTCTGTCTCTCTGTCCAGCTTTAAGAGACAACAGGATTGAGCTGGTGCATGCGTCGTGGTCGGAGCTGACCATCAGTATCAGTGACATCACGCTGTCGGATGAAGGCATGTACACCTGTTCCCTCTTCACCATGCCTGTCAGAACGGCCAAGGCTTACCTGACTGTTCTAGGTAAGTACAGACAAACACGTCACTGCTTCAAGGACATGTTCATTTCTGAAGATAGGTTACATAATACAAGTCATGCCTTTTCTCACTCTGTCAGGTTTTTCTTTTAAAAGACAGAGATTTTCCACAATTACTGTGAGAACAAGCTTTACTCATCTCATGTAAGTGCTCCAAGGAGAAGACCAATATTCAGATCCATTACATGTACAAGTTAAACTTTTAAAATACATACAATATTAAATCAACATTACCAAACATACAGAATGAATCAGAACAGACTGAATATTTACAGTACAGCATATTGCAGACAGCTTTGGTTACAAAAATAATAATAATAATAGTCAAACACTTAAAACAAGACAAGGCAGTTCACTAAAAGTATCTTGACCATTGGTTAGTTGTTAGTTATAGAACGTTGTTGGAGGTTAATCTTTTTCAGTTGTATGGTTTTATTGTGTTTCTTTAAGACAAACACATTGACTGTTAGTTAGTGTTAGATAAAATAGACTGTTACAAACTAATAAAACCACTATTAGGCGGTTTTCCCCTTTATAGTCTTTGTGTTTTCATCATGGGCTCATAAAAACCCTTGTCTCGGTTCCTAACACTGGCTTTATTATCTTCCCCAATTAGTTTTGGCTATGTTAATAGATGAGCTAGTGCATCCCCATTCACAATATATTGTGGGAGTACTCTCAGACCGCTCCTAAAAGCTGAGACATTTCTCACAAAGAGTCAAGGAAGAGACAGAAATGTTGACCTAAGTGGGGAGGTGTGGTCGACCTAGTTGCTAGGTAGCACACAAGGATGTGATTGGCTGATCAACATATCTATTTCATGCAATTAACATCTCTGTTAAATTAGCTTTAAACCATAATTTAAAAACACCTTATAACATATTTTAAAACACAAGTCTACTTTTATAATTTGCATCCATTTATTTACCACGCTGTTAGTTTGAGTAGTTAATCAATTCACTGTTAACACGGGAACATTACTCAGATTTTTTTCAGTTCCTGCTGTCCAGTCTAAATAAGTAACAATATTTGTTGACATGTAAATCCACCAGCAAACCAGCAGACTGTAATGGAAGAGAGTCACAGATCCCAGAAAACCCAAATGTACAGACAACCAGCATGAAACCACTTACTCTCAAGCTTCTTAAAAGTCCCTACTCTACTCCTAGCTTTTTTTTTCCAAGCCTCACACGTACTCTGATGGACTAAGATGTTTTGTAACATCTATATTTACTGTGGGGGTAAATTGGTAGAAAACATTGTAATTCTAAGATTTTCTTAGAATTTTGTCAATAGGACCAACTGTTTGTACTACGAAGCTTAATGAATACCCTGAAGGACCATTAGCTGGCAGTCTGAGCATTGGAGACATTAAAGGCTACTGCTCAACAAGGATATGGAGAAATTATTTCACCATTATGAACAATAGTGAAGGGTTCAAGCAAGGGAACAGAGAGGGAGATTTAATTAACACTCAGAATGGACTGGGAATGGCCGAGTTTTAGGACAATGAGTTCTGGCAAGGGACATATTGAAAATCCTTTAGACAAAATAGCAAAGTCTTTCATAAACATACAATGAAATGAGCCGCGAATACAATTCTTAAAATAAATTAAAAAGTGTGAATTGTGTATAATTTACATGCTAGAATATTCACATTATAAATATCAACAAGCCCCAAGAATTGGGTCATAGAATGAAGTTTTAAACATATGGAAATGTTAAAATTTGGCTCTATGTTTGACTCTTGATGTAAAAAATTGTTGGGTCACCAAACAGAATACAATGAATCCTGACTTTTGAAACAAAAGCCTTACATTGCTGATATTTAGACTTTCAAGACTATCGCACGTCAATAGTTTTTATTTTTATGAAATATTGCCCCCTAGCAATTTTTAACAGCCCTCCAGGCCTGAGAATGACCAATAGAATGCTATGCTTGGCTAAAAATGCATGGCACAAAAGTTTGGTTATTGGTCACACTCACTAATTCACATATTTAAACACACACACACAGCACAGTACTTAGTTGGATTTTACAACACTGTAGCTGAAAACACTTGGAAACAAAATGTATGTCAAAACATGCACACTAAAATGTCATGTAATACATTTAAGATACATTCACATCAACTCTGCTGCAGATACGCCCGGTGTCCACGCTGCTAAATGGAGAAGTTTGTAAGAGCTGCTGGCGTCATTTTAGTTTGAAAACTCAACTGCATGCTGATTGGGTCTTTTAGGAAATGATGTAACCTTCAGTGATTCAAGCTCCTCTAACATGACCCGCTTCTGAAGAAAAAAAAAACAGCATTCACTTCAGCTACTAGTATAGAACGCAACATGGGTAATGAATTCCAAGCGTTGCTGACCCTGTTGTCTTTTGCTAACAGTTAAATTCTGCAATTAAGATGCTGTAACTGTTTACGTGTGTAGGAGACACGCAATCATTTGAGCAATTTCGTGGTTCATGTGCTTTCTGCCCAGAATACGTGAGTGGTCATGTGATATACGTTTTCAGGCGTGTTAGTATGACCAGGAGCCTAAACACAAAATTCTCAGTTGAGGTAGGATGGATCTCACTGCATACTGTATCTACCAGCAGCAGCTTTTGTTTGGAGCTTCAAGGAGATGATGAACAAAAAAAAGCAGAAGCTTTAACTGGTAGTAAAATGTACAGGAGGGGGGGAGACAAGGCCACAGTCAGTCAATGGCATTGACTGTCAGACCTTTCAGTCCTTCAGCCTGAGGTAGACTTATTGCTCATTGACATTAGAAAGACAGACTCTACACACTTAAAACACTCATTATAGGAAAAGGCCAGTAAAGTAAATGTTCTGTACAACCTCCTCTATGTCAGGAGCCTTTGTTTACTATGTATGTACACACACAGACACACACACACACAATCATGTTCAGCATACACTTTTTGACACAGGTAGTGCTTCTTTGGTAGAAGTACCCATGGTAACCCAGACATTTGTTCCGTGTAAACACATTGCTGTTAAATATTTTAAATACAATTTTTCAGTTGTGTGAGCACCATAAATAAAACTCCATTCACTCCTTTTGTATTCGAGCCGTTGCGCACACAGATGTCTCACAATCTGGCCAGAGAAAATCAAAACTAAGAGCAATACAAGCTGCACATGAGAAAATGTGGTTCTTTGTAATTCGTGTGAAGCGACCCTTAAAGAAGGGGACGGCCTAGTTGTTAGAGAGACCATCTCCCTGATGTCTTCTCGAGCACGACGCCGCTCAGGGAAGCTGCTCTGCTGCAGTCTCCTCTTTTAATCTCCCTGCAGGAGACTGAGCTGGAGGAGAAGAATTTCCAATATGGCATGATAACACTATTGTTGACTTACAGCTGTGTCATTAGTTCCATCGCTGTGAATTTCAACTCCGTCCTGTAGGTGTGCCCGAGAAGCCACAGATCGATGGCTTGACGAAGCCCGCCCTGGAGGGAGACCACATCACTCTGACCTGCATCACTCAGGGCAGCAAGCCCGCCGCCGACCTGCGCTGGTTCAGGAATGAGAAGGAGGTCAAAGGTGCGTAACATCTGTATCTGGATTTTAATCTGCGTGAAACATAGGGCCTATAGTACTATTAGTGTCGAATGAGAGTTACAATGACTGATCCAAACTTTTGCAGGAGGAATTATGATAAAATAAAGGGTTTTTTTTCATATCCAGTGAGAATGTTTGTTTATTTACTCCAAAAATCAGTTGATTATCGATTTGTTTGACATTTTAAAATTTGGCCTTTTTGCTAATTTTCTTTTTTTATCTAGTAAACAAATTATTCACTCACACAATTGATTACCATTTTTTAATTGAACAATGCATTTAGTTGCTCTAATATTAAAAACCTAAACTACAATCAGGCTCTACCATTAATCATGTTGTTACATATCTACTGATTTAATATCAAGCTGTAGTTTCCGTTGTGAGCAAACAACTTAATTAAACCCACAGTTTATCTCTTTAGAGAGTCGCTGTCAGATACTGAGAAATATTGATTATTATGAGTGAGCGTGGCTCTCATCACCTCCATATGCTTTGTAAATGACAAACAGAGCTCTGAGTGTGTAAAGAAATAAGAATTTGTGTTCAAATACTTAAAAAGTCTCTTACATAAAAGTGTCTCTGTGACATTGCGCCGTACATCTCTACAGTTTATTTTTGTTTTAAAAAAGTTGCTCCAGATAGAGGGGATTCAGCATGTTTCCTGTGAGACCGATACATTAACCTCCCTTATTATCAGAGGGAAGCTCTAAATAACACCGACCGGACTCCACACCTCATTTCCACCCTGCTCCTGCTTTGTTCTGCTTGATGAGCCATCCACTTTATAATTGTTTGAAAGGGAGATGAACAGAGACGCAGGCAGACAGACGGTATGAGAGAGAATATTAAAGAAAAGAGAACTGGGGACACGGAATGATGAAATTTTGTTTTTGAAGAAGAGAGAAACAGATGCGGTATCAAATGAAAACATAGAACCCAGCGGGGCAGACTGTCACACATCTAAAGCACAGTCGCAGAACTTTTGTCAAGGATTATGTGTTGTTTCATAAAGTAGATTTGAGTCAGAGGACAAATGCAAATCAACCTTTTCTAATTTAAAGTGTAAACAAAGAAATCCAAGGTTAAGATGTATAAACTTTTTAAAAAAAACATGGAAATGAGTGGAAAGACATTTTCAAAATCTCAGAATCTTGGTAAAACCCAACAGTGAAACTCAGGAACAAGGATATCCAGCAGCAGGTGTTGCTCATCCTAACTGCTGAATTAAATGTACTTAAAGTATTTTCCTGTAAAGCACTTGAGATGTTTGCACAAAGAAGTTCTAAAAGACAAAGATATTTTTCCCAAAACATGCAGGGTTTTTAATTTTTACCTTTGCCGATCCGAAGTTATCTAACTACTTATATTGTCCGATGTGTATTTGGTGTCACTGAGAGCAGTGTGCACATTTATTACAATTGTTAAATTAATTTACAATATTTTTACATTCCTATACAAAGTACTTTAGATAACTTATCCATTATCAATCATCCCTATGACCCTTATCACATTTTCATGTAAAATAATAACAATATAATTATAATAATAATAGGAATCTTTCAATTACTTTTGGTCGTAGATCTCCCTCTCACATGCTGTTAGGGTTTGTTTGTTTCCTTTTTTACAAATTTAACTAATCACCACATTTTGTATTTGTATTATAATATTATGTCACCACACTTAATATTTCCTCCTGTTGCCCTTCTGAGGAAGATGAAACAAATTGGAACAGAACATACACTAATTAGCAGAGTGAGTATCTTTCCTTACAGGCTCATTGTATCTCAAAGGGTGATTATTGCGTCTCCAAGCAGCCCAGCAGAGAAAGAGAGAGAGAGAAAAGCTCCCTGTAAGGCAAATAGAGGCTTAGCTGGGACATTATTACCACGGAAAGCGAACAGGTAGTAAGAGATATCCTTGGTGGCTCCAAGTGGAGGTAGTCTCAAGAGGACATGCTTTCTCATTAAGGTCAGATGTTATAATTCTCTCCTCACATTGGCACACGACTATCTTTAATTTGGGCCTTGTACAATTTTATATGACGATATTATTCACTGTGACAAGGTTGTAGTGCTGTAGCCTGAAAGGATGTGCTTGTTCAGGTTTGCCCTTGTGTGTGAATATATTCTGTACTGCTCATATGACATTGTTGAAACTAATATTATAGGTACAAGTTCGTATGCATATGTATATATACATGAAGTGGTGAATATTATGAGACACAGATTGGACATAAAAAATAAATCAATATTATGCAGTCATTTTTTGTTTGGCTTTTTAAAATAAATGTTGGCAATATGGTCCTAGAACAGAAAGCCAAAGCTTGAGACTTCATTCAGATGTCAGATGAGGAGATTCCTGTCAGATCTGCTGTTGGACTTGTTGAGAATGTTGATCAGAGGTGAAGTTTCAGCTCTCACTGAATTCACTGAAAAGCTCTCTCAGCATCGGCCACTACAGCCTTTCTACCCGAGCTCAAGAGCAGACAGCTCAGCCTGCTATCTCATGTTACGGGTTTCCCAGGGTCCAGATAAGCAAACAGATAAGCCCAGATCAATGCTGGTTTCCACACAGTTTTAAGCAGATATCATGGTTATCTCTCAGTTTCATTAACTGTAGCTGGGAGATGATATTAAATCAACGTGATCACATTCACTCTACTTTGAGCTATGTTAATCCCACACATTTCTAAAACTGATTTCAACACCACTAAAGGTCACAGCTAATCAAAATGAATCCATAAACAGTGGCTAACATTGTCACCATCATCTTTGTACTGTACCCATAGAACTACTGTATATATGTAAGTATAAGCAGTATAATTACTGAAAAGGTTGTTGATTTCAAAGGTGAAAAAATATTGATTCTTAAATTAATACCTTGTCTTATCTGACAAGAAGGTGTCAGTTTTTCATTAACAGTTTACTGCTTAGCTTCAAATTCTGGTCAATTGTAATTCAGTAAAAAGTCTATACTGTCAGTTTTGCAACTAATTACTAATTAGGTGTGTGTGTGTGTGTGTGTGTGTGTGTGTGTGTGTGTACGCATGTCCATCTATAGTTATGAGGGCCAATGTTGGTTCAGTACCATCATTGTAAGGACATTTTGACATTGTGAGGATGGTTACGGTTAGGGTAAGGGGCTAGGGAATGCATTATGTCAATGAGTGTCCTCACAAATATAGAGAGGCGTGTGTGTGAGTGTGTGAGTTGTATCGTACTGTGGAAAACAAAACGAGCCCAGCGAGCCACTCACCCACAGTCTGACTGTCCCCATCTAAGAAAGACTTAATAAATAAACATGAGAGTAAACAAACACAAAGGGGCAAAACATGTGGACACACAATATATGTATGTATTTATGCATGCGAAGGTGAATGTGAGCGCACTTGAAGTGTTCATCATACTGACAGGATCGGGGTGTGTTCAGTGTGAAAAGCCATCTGATTGCGGGTGACCATGCTGGGACTAAATGACAATTGTGACATATTGGTGTGGGATCTGTGGGAATAAAGAAGATTATATTACCAGCAGAGCCACTGGAGCAGTCCATCACCCATTCACATCCGACACCCTGTGCTAAGTGTGTGTGCATCTTTGAGCATGTGTGTGTGTGTTTTTGTCAGATAGAGCAAAACAGACAGATGGAGCAGACAGGCTGCATGTAAGGACATAAGCTTGTGTGTGTGGAACGGAATCCAATATTCTTATTTCTCAGTCTCTTTGTCCCTCAGATCCCCTCAGTCCCCACCCAGTAATGATATATTTCTATCTCAGTTACACACCGTAACCCAGAGAGGCCTCTGCCAATATCACCACATGTAGCACTTGTTTACACACCACTGAACCAGAGGGAGCTGTGCAGAGACCAAGCTAGGCATAGATGAAATGAATATTTATTTCAAATAAGGGTGGGGATGTTCGCTATCTGACTAGTATTATCATACTCTCTGACCTAAACTGTAGAGGTTATTGCTTCATCATGTTATGTGATAGCTCTATTCCAAGGGGGCTTAAGGGAAGAAATACAGAGATTTGATTCAGATTTGCTCTCAGTCATATCTCTATTCTGTTGTCAAAGTTGTTAGTCAAGGACACGGAACTATCACAGCAAACGTACCTTGCGCTATTTTAGTTGGTTGTCTGCTGACTTTCCAACGCTCCATCACTCGAGTGTGCCCATTCACTGAAGAGCTGAGCGGTGACTGAACAACCTATTGAAATAGTGCTGACTAATTCCTAATTTAAGGGTTATTGTCCTTGACTATGCTGCAAGGTTTTCCCTGGAAGCAGCTATTGAGCGAAGAGGCAATAGCTCCTGGAAGTCATTTCAGACGAGTTGATGTTGACATTTCGTGAGACTGCTAGTGTCTGTGTGAACACTAAAACAAGTTCAGGGTTTAAAAAGTTAAAAGTAGTAGTAGTGTGTTGGTACTGCAGTTATACTATTCACCTCCCATAGGGTGGGAGTGGATCAATGACCATTAAAGATGTAATTTCAAGATGGCTCCTGCTAGTCACAGTGACATGAATAAAAGATGCTCAAGTCAGGCACACACACATATTCAACCTCTGGTTTCTGTATACAAGAGCACCACATACACAAAAGCCCTTTCATGCATGTTCAACCAAGTACTTGCCTGAGATAAAATCTGTGTGACTCTGTAGGTAGTATATAGCTTATGGTATGGTACAGTAGGGTAGAGTAAGTGGTATAGTTGGAGAGGGTAGGGTATGGCAGGCTATTCTAGGCTAGGTTAGGGTATAGGTTGGGTATACTAGGTTATGGTAGGGTGGGGAATGGTATGGTATTTTAAGGGATGGTAAGATATACATGTTATGGTATGGTAGGGTATGAAAGAGTATGGTATGGTCAGGTATTGTAGGGTGGGGTGTGTGAGTTATTGTGTGGTATTCTAGGTAAGGGTATGGTTATGCTATGGTAGTGGAAGTTAAGGTATGGTTAGGTCAGGGTATGTTATG